CGCTGCCAAGCAAGCGGTATGCTCATTTCCTCATAGGATATTTTTGCATCAGTAGCACTACAGGTTGGCAGAGGATCGGAGCGTGGGAGCTTCCCCAGGGTTAAGCGAGGCCGTGAGAACCGTCAATCAGGCACGCGATACCCATGAGGACATCGGTAGGATACGGATTCGCCCATGTAGGAGGACATACTCTCCTTCGGAATAGGACTGACAAATGGAAAACTATGCTCCTGTACGTCACGCCCTGCTGCAAACACCAAACAAGAATTATATTAAGAACAGCATGGGAGCGGATCCGGGCTTCGGAAATGACCGTGGCTAACCGGTCCGGGTTCAAAGCCACGTTCCACTGCAAATCTGGGACGGAAGATCTGCGGCATCGAAGCGCAAATCATCGGATTGTGGCTGCGTCGCTTCTGTCGATGTACTGAACCAGAGCTCGCTGCGAGCACGTACGGAAAGAGCTCAGAAGACGGTCAGAAGGAATCGTAAGAGAGCTTGGAATCGTAGAAAGCCGAGACACGCCCTCCTCTACTCGGTCCGATCACGCCGTCGGATATTTTATGCAACACGCTGTTTTACACCAACAGGAAGCGAAATGCAATGTCGGCAAGCAGCAAGCACGCTTGATGCCTTGCGCCCGATGTCGTCCTGCAAGCAATGCATCTGTAAGCAAGCATGCCTCACATGCAGGAATAAAAAACCTGGTGAATCGTCAGCCAAGCATCGTTCTGCCTCCCCACTGCGAACTGCCAATCCTACGATCTACTCAGAGTTCCGCTTTGCCTCCCTCGGAAAGTAGCACCATGTCGGACATTCCACCCCAAGATATCAACATGCGTCAGTTCGGCCAAATCTCATCCGCATCCCTGTCTGATGATATTTATCAGGGCATCTTACCGGCACGGGCCAAGCGCCCTCTGGTGGGCTAGATCAGGGCTTTGTGCAACGCACAGGGTCGCAGTCCGGTCACGACACGGCGCAATCCTCAGGTCCAATGCAATGGGAACGGCCAGCGGGCCAGCTGGGCGACAGCAGGAACGTTGCTACGTTCGGCTTTCCGATCAGCCCCTTCACCCCGCTTCCATCCGATCCGTCAACTTCTCAACGGGATCCGTTCTATGCCCCTGGTTTTGATCCTCTGCCGTCTCAGTCGGATCCTTTCGTCGGAACGCCGTCGCAGCCATGGGACTACTATCCAATGGTGTCCCAAGAGTACGAGATGCAATACAGCACGGCTGGCACTCCATCGCCCCTCGGTCCCTATTCTGGGTATGCAGCAAACGGTTTTTTGGATCCGGTATATGCTGCGCAACTCTTCCAGCAATCTCCTTCCGAGCAACAGCCGCCCACTCAATCTGGCCCGGATCACGCGCCCGCTCCGCACGCCGAGGCGGATTCTCAGGGTAAGCAGTCCACGTACAGTGCATATCCGTACGATTTAAAACTCGGACAGGGCCACCTACCAAGGATCGGAAAGGAAAGAAGAGGGAGAGGAGCGGTTCAGCCATCGCTACCGCTGAGAAAGCCGGTAAGCGTTTCGATCCACGTTATATGCTATCAGAGGCTGATTCATACCGTCATAGAATCGAGCAAGCAGAAAAGAAAAACAAACGCCTCGGCATCTTCTGAAAGGGAGTGCGTCGTGTGCCGGCAGCGGTTTGAAAACGGAAAGCAGTTGTCGGCCCATCGACGCAAGTGCGCTACCGAAATAGAACTCCTATTCAAGGACGAGACGAAGGTCAGATTCACTCGTGCGCCGGACGCTTCGTACGTCTGCTATTGCGACTTCAACCCCCACGGCCATACGTTCCAAAACAACGAGTCATTCCGAAGGCACGTTCACTTGCCAGGAGGCGCAAGTCGACCTTGGGATCCGAAGGTGTGCAATTCCCCACGAATCGCCGATTTTCTAGTCGAAACGACTAACGTGAATCTCAGGGGGTTTTTGCGGGTCTTTCCGAGCAGGCCCGATCCAAATGCGGCTCTACAGCGCTCGTATTGAGCGGCCCTTCGGTTCCAGTGATTCCGACAAGCCGGACGATCAGCAATGGCCAAGCGTCTACGCATTTCCGATCTCTTGCAAGGGGTCCCGGGCCATCAGTGAGCATATACTTCTTCATAAAAGGTCGACTATGTCTGAGTTTTTCTCGGCAGGATGAGTCGGTACCGGAGACCCCTTCGATGACAAAAGCACAGGGGGTCCAGCATACGGTTAGAGCACGAGGCCGAGTTCCATGCGATTCACAGCTGACGGTCTCCGAGCAGGCTTCATCGAAGCGTCAGCCTGGTTTAACCGCTAGGATGAAGATCAATCACGATAAGGGTGCCGTGCAAGACGCAGGAAGGGTTGGGGAACCACAGGAAGATAATCCCCGAGCGCAGAGTCTAGGGACGGTAGGCACATCGTTCGTGAGATTGAGGACATGATATTGAATTTTATCAAAAGGGATATGCTTCACGCCCCTCCAGTCCGGCCGAAAGCGTCATCCCAGAGCACGACGAGAGCTCGGTACGTCATTCCTATCCATGCCCCAGGGTGGAAAACAGGCTGTTTTCCGCCCGTCTCAGATTTGGTTGATTACAGCCTACATGCATAGATTAGCAAGATATCAGTGGTCAGGAACCATCCCCACAGATTTTGAATCGCAGCGCAGCCGCCAATAAAATGTTTATGATAGACACCGTGCAAGGCAGTTTGTGAGCCCAATACAATATCTCTGGGGTCAGTAACTATCTCCAAAAATCGCCCCAGGTTACCTCCATACGGCACGCATTTTTGCCCGATTTATGAACCGCTTTACCGTGGGAAATGCGAATGCGCCGAGTTTTTTAAACGAAAAAAATATAAGGCAAGTGCGCCGAGTGATTATAAAATCAACGGCTGCACCGGAGGTTGCGCCGAGATAACAAGCACTGTGGAGCCGATTAAGATCGACGCAAG